GCTGATGCTGTTGCCTCCTGTATCCAGTCACCTTTGATGACGACGAGTCCCTTTTTGCCTTATCGGCCCGACTCTTCGGTTAGGTTATGGGACACTACTGGGTTGCTTTTTAGGAACTTAAGTTAAGCTATCGTACTGGGGACATATCGTAAATAATAGGGTTTGCCTTATTGTAGCAACTGAGTTGTTGAGTTCCCTAACAGAAACCCAGATGACGGGACTGAAGGGGCTTCAGGGCCAGAAGTGATTCGCGACCTTCGCTGTTTCGGCCGTGCTTGAGCAAGGCTCCTTTGAAGATTGACCGTGTGATGTAGGGCAATATTAGTGATTATTAGTGCCTTAATTAGAATATAGGGCTTGGAGAAATACTATTGAATAATAATGACAAGGAGCCACAGGGAATAGTACTAGTATGTATTAGCGTCTACAGTAGACACATCGTTCCTTTCGGTCCCCTTCTATCGTTAGAGTATGCTATACCTAAACACCCTTGTCTAATTTTTAAGGCCCACACACTCTCAACCCTAAACCCCCGAGTGTGAGCGCCGAAACCCTGCTTTTTTAGACCAACCCTAAACCCTAAATCCTAAACCCTAAACCCTATTTTAAAAAAGAGCCACCTCTAAGGGTTTATATTGGTTGCCAAGAGCATCGCTCCGCAGGGGCGGTTGGCAGCCGTCGGAGATGCGGGAGGCTGTGGTGCAACAGAAATTATAAGGGTATAAGGGTTTTGATGCAAAAAAGGGTATATGGGTTTAAGATTTAAGGCCTATCGCTGTCACGGTCGAAGGCTTAAGGGTTTAGAGTATGAGGGTCTAGGGTTTGTGCCATGCATGGAATTCCTTTGTGTTTCTTCGATGACGCGGAGCGAGCACTTCAAGAGCTGTATACGTCTTTACCGGTGCATGCGCTCCTTTGCAGATGCTAATGTGCCACAACATCGTCCAGCACGGCTATGGCGCATTAACAGTTTCTCCTGGCAAGTATGGCGCAGAAGTGTTGTAAACCCCGGGATCTTCAGATTGAGCTTGGTCCGTTGTCCACAGCTTTTCCGGTAAGCACTCTTGAGAAAGGATGAGAGTTGCATAGCTGGCCAGCACCTCATTCTGTGAACCAGCATTGTAAGACCAGGCTCCAAAACTGTTGAGATAGGGCTTAGGGTACTATTATTATTATTATTATGATTGTTATTATCATTATGTCTGGAAGCAGGAGGCGCAGTGCTTCGTGGCGGGGCCGAGGGATTTTGGTTAGGGCCTCGAATCCCGCCCTAAAGCACCAAGCATGATGCCAAGACATTCTCAGAAGCGAACTTGTTTGAAGAGCCATTTGGAATATGAACCTTCCGAAACTGCCGTTTGCATTTGCAAACTCTGACTACTCGTTTTTGCCCCTTAGCAGTTTAGCCGCACCATGTCGCCATGGTGTTCTTACCGTCAGCACTTGCAAACTCGCGCGAAATATTGAACAGCACGACCACCGTCTTCTCTTCATCGCCATCATCTGTTTCATCGTCATCATGCCTGCTTGTGGCATGGCGACAGTTGAAGCAACAGTGATCAACCTGCGAAGAAACAGTACGAACCGTCGAAACGCGTGGTGCGCATCACGGCCTTCCAACCCTACTGGCAATGCTGGCAATCACTACAGAGAGTTATAAACGGCAGCATGTTGATGAGCTACAACAGAAGACGCGTACCCCTATGATAAAACACAGTCTCCAGCGTGCAGCTCATTGGGAGGGTCGTTTCCGGTTGAGGGCTCAGCCGAAGAGGCTCGCCGAGAGCAGATAGTACTCAGTTGTCCGGAGCAACATACAGTACCATAGAGAAAATCTTGTCGTAGAATTTCGGTGGCTTGCACTTAGCCTGACAACGTTCTGTTCGATGTACCGGGCAAGCTCACCGTTCGAAGGTGTCATCACCCTGCTGCAGCTTTGCGATGGTCTCGTCGACCCAGGTGCAGATGGCGATAGGAAGTTTCATGCGGATTTCAGAGGTCTGATCTAGCATGCTTAGGTCTTGCATTTCCGTTCTCAGTGGGAGCAGACTGGTTGAGAGAACCCACTGCAAGTACTAACTCGCTCTCCTGCAAAAGCGGAAACAAGCTACGCCATGAAGAGCCAGTGCTGCTCGGATCCTATCTTTCTGGACAACCTGAAACCCTAAACCCTAAACCCTATGTCCGAGAGTCCGAGAGTGAGTGCTGAAATCCTAAATCCTAGGTTTCTGTTTGGAAGCGTGTTTCTCGGGGCTCTGGGTTTGGGACTTAGGGGTCGGGGCTCCGAGGGAGGCTCTGAGGGACCAAGGCCTATGTTGGCCTGCGCCGACGTCGGTACAAGAGTTGCTCACGGTTTAGGGTTTAGGGTTTAGGGTCTAGGGTTGAAGAAGTCGTAAAGTTCTATCCCGGTACAACGTAGGTTTCTCTTGCCTTGGCGATTCTGGAGTTCTCTGAATCGACCCGCCTCCTCCACTGAGACTGATCATTGGCAGCCCGAGGCCTTTTGGTATGCAACCTTTTCCTGAAGATATGACTCAATGATTCTATTATGAAACCCAAGAACCTATTCTGGGTTGCAGGCCCCAACGAGAAGAACTTGATTGGCATGATGCTGGATCGTGAAACCAAGCGCGAGAAGAGCTTGGACCAGATCAAGAAACAGGGAGGCGTCGCGAAGAAGGAGACTTGGACCGAGCCCGCCAATCCCCCACCTCTATCCTTTAGGGCATCAGCTTGAACCCTTCATCCCAAACCTACAACCTACCAACAAAAAACCAGGGGAAATAACCTATAAACGTAAACGTCCCAAGGGCACCGCAATTGTTTCAAGATCAACAGATGGCTTAAGGCTAAGGATGTAGAATTGAGGGCTTAGTGCTTCGATCATCATCTTCAGAATTTGTGACCGGCCCAAGCAGGTGTTGGCAAACATTGCTCGAGATGATATAGTGCTACTTCAACCTCGCCGTCGCCGTCGTACTTAAGATTGTATCTATCAGTAGCAGATGTAGAAGTAGAAGTAGAAGTAGTAGTAGTAGTAGTAGTAGTAGTAGTTGTTGTTGTTGTTGTTGTTGTTGTTGTTGTTGTTGTTTGTTGTTGTTGTTGGTTGTTGTTGGTTGTTGTTGGTTGTTGTTGGTTGTTGTTGTTGTTGTCGTCGTCGTCGTCGTCGTCGTCGTGGTAGTAGTACTAGTCGTAGTAGGAGGAACAGCAGCAACAGCAGTAAGAACGACTACTACCACCAATAAGACGACGACGACGACTACTATTACTA